CAACTGTCATTGCCTGGTCTTTGAGGGTAAGAAGATCAACCAGGATGAAATGTCCTATCTCCATCCCAACTGTCATTGCCTGGCCTTCGAGGGAAAGAAGAGCAGCCAAGATGAAATGCCCTTCTCCCTCTCAACTGTGATTGCCTGGCCTTTGAGCAAAAGAAGAGCAGCCAGGATGAAATGCCCTTCTCCATCTCTACCAGCATTGCCTGGCCTTCGAGGGAAAGAAGAGCAGCCAGGAGGAAATGCCCTTCTCCATCCCAACTGTCATTGCCTGGCCTTCAAGGGAAAGAAGAGGAGCCAGGAGGAAATGTCCTATCTCCATCCCGATTGTCATTGCCTGGCCTTCGAGGTAAGAAGAGCAGGCCGGAGGAAATGCCATTCACCATCCCAACTGTCATTGTCTGGCCTTTGAGGGAAAGAAGAGCAGCCAGGATGAAATGTCCTTCTATATCCCAAGTGTCATTGCCTGGCCTTTGAGGGAAAGAAGAGCAGCCAGGATGAAATGTCCTTCTATATCCCAAGTGTCATTGCCTGGCCTTCGAGGGAAAGAAGAGCAGCCAAGATGAAATGCCCTTTCTCCACCTCAACCACCACTGCCTTGTCCTTGGAGGGGGAGAATAACAGCAAGGATGAAATGTCCTTTCTCCACCCCAGCTGCCACTTGCCTTCAAAGGAAAGAAAAGCAGGCAGGATTAAATGCCCTTTCGCCACCCCAATAGTCATTCCCTGGCCTTCAAGCCAGTAAAGAGCAGGCAGATCCAACTAGGATGCCTAGACCTATCAGTCTAATGCCCTTGCTCCACTGCCACTGCCCTGGCATCAGAGGGAGAGAAGAGCAGGTGGACACAGCCATGATGAAATGCTCTTGTTCCATACCAACTGTCTTTGCCTGACCTTTGAGAAAACGATGATCAGCCAGGAATGACATGTTTTGTCCATGCCAACTGTATCTGCAATAGCTTTGAAGGGAGAGAAGAGCAGCCAGGCAGGACTCCATCATGCCAAGGTCCATCAGTGGACGAAATGCCCTCATTCCATTCTAACTGGCACTGCCCTGGTCTTTGAGGGATCTCCATACCGAGTTGAACTTTGAGACCAGAGAACATGGTTTCCACCCCACCTGGTTACTCCTTCTAACTTTCAGATGATTTATGTGTCGATTTTGGCTGTATTTCTTTTGGGAGCATGCCCAGGCGCTTTGTGGCAGTGCCAGTCCTATGAAAGAAGCGATTTCTCGCCCCAGAGTGATTAAAGCACACAAATGAAACTCTGGCAGAAAGAAAGTACTATCTTAATGATCTCCCAGTTATTTTGTGCCCAGATCTTTCTGTGAAATCTGCATTTTGTTGAGTCTTGGCCTTTCTTGTGCTTTTCTTCCCCTAGGGTTAAAAAAGATAGCATAATCTCAGTAGATTAGAGAAAATAATGGCGTATTTTACTGTAATCACCTACTTAGTCGGGATGGCTAAATAGAGCCTCCATGTTCACATGCAGTGTGTTTCTGAATCTCAATCAAGAGATAAAAGTGAGACAATACTACTACTACTACTACTACTAATAATAATAATAATAATAATAATAATAATAATAATAATAATAATAATAATAAAGATAAACTGCAAAGACTCTGGCACAAGCCAGTCAAGGTGGTCCCAGTGGTGATCGGCACACTGGGTGCAGTGCCTCAAGACCCTGGCCTGCACTTAAACACAATCGGTGCTGACAAAATTACCATCTGCCAGCTGCAAAAGGCCACCTCTACTTGGGATCTGCACGCATTATTCGCCGATACATCACACAGTCCTAGACACTGA